CCCCCCCCCCGGCCTTCAAGCGAAGCCGCTACACGGGTAACACGGGGATATATTTGTGGGTGGAAATTGAGAAACTCTGAGCGTGGGCATATTAATCCATCTCTAAACCCAGCTGAGAGGAGGAAACAGGGCAGCACTCAAATTTTCGATTGCTGCACTGTTTGCGTTCCAGCGGACCCATTTCCCCTCAAGGGTCAGCTTTCATAGAACACGATTTTACTATGATGACTCGTGCGTGAGCACAGGTTGCAAGTGGGAAAATTATGTTGGTCCGAAAATATATAATCTGCGGAAAGTATCTAGAAACTTCTTCTTTGTACTTTCGCGCCACAAATAGAGGTTGAAGTTGAAACAAAACACATCCACAAAGAGAAAAGTAATAAACAGATGAATAGTGATAGAAGCTGAAAACACTTTGCTGCTATATTTCTCTCGTATTCAAACACGTTAGAAACATTCCAAATGTGAATCTCCAATTAAAATGACCTTACAAATTATTTTAAAAGTGTGTAGTAATGATTTTCAACCTGAAGAAACGCCAAATTTATTGACATATTACAAGTAATATGTGACATTTCACATGCGAGATTGGTACTTCTGTTGGCCAGGCTGGCGCCAGTGCAGAAATGAGGAAGAGCATGTTGTGATTATTCGCACGTGTGAAGACATCAAGCTCTGTTTAGAACTGATATAGTTCGAATTTAGGTTGATAAGATTTGATTACATCTGCATCTGCTGCAGAGAATCGTTAGGTCTAGACCAAATATCTCTTTAAGTCCTCAGATCGTTAGGTTTTTGGAAAGTGACAACATCGTGATTCCCAGTCACTCTAACCCTTTAATTCGTACTAGTTTTGCCAAGAAAAAAGTAAACAACGCAGATAAGAATGCCATCAAATCAATCCACTGAAGTCTTGCCAGAGGGTTTCAAATCATGGCAAGAATTTAATAAGGCTAAGAAAGAGAGAAAGAGATTGAAACAGGATTATAAGATAAAAAAGATGGAAGAAAAAAAGCAGAAGGAAGAACTAACCAAATCATCTGGTGTCAACACTGAACCAAGTACATTTAAAAAAACTAAAGTCCGTGAAGAAGAGCCTTCTACCCTGAGTATTGCTGTACCAGGCTCTATTCTTGACAATGCACAGTCAGTTGAATTGAGAACGTATCTGGCCGGTCAGATTGCTAGGGCAGCTTGTGTTTTTAAAGTGGATGAGGTAATTTGTTTTCCTTTCTTACTAAGCCATTTTATTTTTAACATATTACATTTTTGGAATGAAATTTTTTTGATTCCCCAGGTCATTGTGTACGATGATATTGGAATCCAGGACAATGTAACAGCAAAAACAATTAATAGTTTATCAGACAGTGGTGAAGTTCGTCCTGCTAGGAGATGCTGTGCTCAACTTGCTAGAATTTTGCAATATTTAGAGTGTCCTCAATACTTAAGGAAAGAGTTTTTCCCCAAACATCATGACTTAGACTATGCAGGATTGTTGAATCCACTTGATGCTCCACATCATATGAGACAGCAAGATGATGGACAGTTTAGGTGACTCTTTTGATTCCACTTTTATTATTTCAAAGTTCTTATTCTGAAGCTCTCTTATATATTAATTGCCAATTCTCATCTTACAGAGAGGGTATTGTAATCAACCAACCTGCCAAAAACGGCTGCTATGTGAATGTTGGTTTACTTAAAAATGTGAAAGTTGACCGACCACTTCAACCTGGAGTGCGAGTTACAGTGGAAATGCTCCCTTCTCCTCCAGAATCTAAAAGGCTTTTTGGGCGTGTCGTTCCACCAACTAGACCAAAGAAAGAGACAGGAGTCTACTGGGGGTACTCTGTTCGGCTCGCAAGCTCCTTCAATGCCGTCTTTACCGAGTGCCCTTTCAAAGAAGGGTATGTTAATAGCACAACCTTTCACCAACTTTTGTTCATATATTGGATTCTGTAGCTTATCAGTGAAGTTTTCCATTGTAGTTACGACGTCACAGTTGGAACATCTGAGCGTGGTGAACGAGTGGAAAAGGTTACTCTTCCATCTCACCAACATGCACTGGTTGTTTTTGGTGGTCTAGCTGGAATTGAGGCTGCTCTTGAGGCTGATGAAGTGCTCATGGTCGACAATCCTGCCCTCCTTTTTGATTTCTACTTGAATACATGTCCGGACCAAGGAAGTAGGACAATTAGAACTGAAGAAGCTATATTGATTACTCTGGCTGAGTTAAGAAGCAAATTTCAACCAAAGGTATTGTGTGTTTTGTTGTTGATATACTGTACTAAATAAGTTAATACAGAGCTATTGTAACTCATGATCTTGTTTTTATAGGTTGAGTTCAAGATAAAACAAACTGAAACAGACCATGGTGACAATGACAGTAACATATCTGTCGACTATGAAGATGATAAAAGTAGCAATAATCAAGAAGCATGTAATGAAACCCCTTCGATTCCCGTCAAAAATGTTGAGAACAATGTGACTGAAAATCTTGATGTTAGTTTGGAGACAGGAGATGCAAATTGTGATAAAAAAAAGGCAAAAAAAAGGAAGAAAAGTAAAGAAGTTTGAAGCTGTTATAACTCCACAATTTTATTATAACTCCAGGACAAAATACTGTGATACCAGCAAAGTCAATATAGAAATACCAAACAATTTTTAGTGTTCTCACTTACTTCCATACTTTTATGAGATCACTGTCGGGAAAAAGTGGTGTAGGCCAACAACATGCCATGTCTATCAAAATATCATAATGATTTGGTATGAGTATTTACAAAGTATGGATACTAAAAAATAAACAGATCCAACAGTTCTTAAAAGTAGCTTTAAGCCTAATCTCATAATAGAAATGGGACCTAATAATTAATAAATGAAGTGAAATAAAAATCTCTGACGCTTAAGAAACACTTGAAATTAAACAATGGATCATTGTATCAATGAATTAAAAAAATGAAAGGGAATATAATCATTACATTCTCTTTGCACACATCCTGTGAATTACATGCATGATATCAATATCCATGTCAAACAATCATTTAGAAAGAATAAGTTTAAAAAATAAAAATACACTCTGCCGTTGGCAACATAAAAGACAAATGATATATGAAATCTTAATATCAAGTCTTAAGTGAATACTAAACGGTAATGGACGGAACTAATCAAGTCTACTTATCTCCGAATATCTGGTTGACCACTACTCCCTCCACTTCTTTCGACTTGAATATTGTGATGGACTAAATGCCAATACGAGCAACAATATGGAATGGACTGCTTCTGGCTAAAAATCACAATTTTAGTCAACCTTCATTCTGAAAAATGACATCAAAAGTAACCAATAATAAATACATGGCAATCTCAGGAAAACAACCATCAAAAACTACCAAAAAATTCAAAAAAAATTGATGAACATTACAAAGTGATATTATAAAATATAAGTGAGGAACCCATACAAGTTTAATATAAATGTATAAAATTACAAAGTGTTGAAGGAGTTGTTTGACAATAAGTAGGGGCCATGTACTATTATGTACTATTACACTAGATTCAATTTTAAAAAGGAAAACAAAATATAGGAGAGACAATAAGGACATTTAGGCCAACATATTTCATGGCAAGTCTGAGTCAGGGGAACAAGTAATTCCTTCTGGTAATGAAATGGTGCATTGTCCTGTTTACAGTTGATTAGTGAAAAATCTTCTTTTGAGAATCATAACTTGACCTACTATGGCAGTTGTAATGCCTCAAACAGCAATTCAAAAGAACTAAAAAATGATAAACTGTATGTACAAGAAACTGCAAAAAAAATAACATAAATGGCATTTAGATTTTTCTTCAACGTTAACAAATTAAACCTAGAATGTGAATCCAGATCTTTGTGTTAAAGATTCTTGATTCATAAACAAACTCTAATCCTCAAGCATTCTGGGAAGACACAGTGAAGTGCAGAAAATATTTTAAATATTCAATCTATAGAAATGCACTGGTGCATTGTTTTATCCTAAGGGAACATATAGAACAATAAATGAACACTTGGAGTGAAGACATTTATGAAAACAAACCTGCAAACTTTAGTAAGTGTCAGGGTTCAACAGCATGAAGATATTTAAATTTTGAGAGAAGCAACCAACCTTGTTAGGTAGCCAGCTCAGATCCATCACAACTGAGCTTAAAAGATTGTAAAAGACTAGTTTAGAAAGCTTCATTGTTGGGAATAGAATACTGTGTTTATTCAATTCTAAGCTGCAACCCTTTTATAGATTTCAAAAACCCTAAAGTTGGGGTTTGGCTTAGAATTGAGTTCTTTTTGACAGGGGTCTTGAGGGATTTTTTCCCATGACACCCTGGCAAAATTTGAGGTGCGGCTTGGAATTGTTGAATAAATACAGTGTACTTTGAAATGCATTACGCAGAAATCTTGCATTGATGATAACTGGGGATTAAAGTCTAATGACCCTAACATCACAATATTTTCAAAGTCCCACAGAATTAAACAAGGGGACTTGCTTTCCAAAGAAGACAAAAAGAAAAAAAAATATCATTTAAAACATAATTTTTAAAAAATTTTGAATATTTTTTACCACTTTTACTATGAGTTCAAATGCTCTCTATAAAATAAACAGAAAGGTAACTTAAGAAAAACACTCACATGAGGGGTACATGGAGTCAATTTGATAATAGAGGTGGAAGGAGTTTCCAACTACTAGTGCATAGGATATTTAAATGAACCACTCCTTCCGTTTTGTCACCTGGTGTCCTCTTTCTCCTTGGACAACTGCAGAATCTGGGTCATTAGCGTAATGTGCACCTTTGTCTTCTTGGGTTAGATACTCTCCTTTGTGTCTTGCCAAGAATCGACCCAGTATAATTGCCATGATTACAAGAGCAATAAATATAATAGCTAATACACCACCTAATATTGCTGAATCTGTTCTAGTATATGCTTTCCGAACTTTATCATCATCTAATAGAGGAGGCGGTCTTATTTCTGGGATGTAAGGCGGGTGGGTAACTGGTTCAACTCCACAATAATCTTCGGGCGTGCTATCAGGTGCTAAAATAAAGAAGGTAAAATATTAACAGTTGAACTAAGTGTTGTTTGCAAAAACACAGAAAGGTACAATAAAAACTACTTAAGAGTGAATACTTACGTCCAAGAGACCTGACATTCCCTGGCCCCCTTTCTTGGAAAAGCAGCTTGAGAGGGTAAATATCATCAAATTCGACTCGAGATATGCATCCAACAAAGCCTTCATTCATTGACTCGTTGCGACCAATGTACAAGTACTGAATATTATTAAATTGGGCATCAGCAGATCCCTTGACTGAGAAGTTAAATTCTTTAATTTCATTGTCAACCTGGTCAAATAATACAAGTTAGTAAGCAAACTATAATTTCCAATCAATTCAAGGGAAAAAAATGAGCAGGTATATATTAAACTCTTACCTGCATCACAAGAGTTGAACCACCATTCTTTCTACTGATTCGCACATCATGGTATTGTCCAAGCCCTAAATGCTTCCCCTCAAAGAAACGTTCCTGCCTTTCAAAACCAAAGTCAAATACAACACGTAAAACACCTGCAGACCAGAAAAATTTACAGACCATCAACACCATATAGAAACAAACAGTAACTGAACACCAAAAAAGTTAAAGTAACACATACCGCTGTTTGATACCATGATGGTCAAATATTCTCCTGTAATATTAGAGGCAAAGCCAAGCAGAAATCCTTTCGGGTTTGTTGTGGTGAAACCAACACGAATGCGTTCTGAGATTGTTGAGCGCCAGCTACCCATGAAATCGTACTTTATCATCGAACTTTTCCGCATGGTGACACCAATTTCTGAAAGACAGATAGATTTACCTAGGTTGCTAAAGGCATTTCCCATACAACTTTAAAACACTTACCATCAGCACAAATGGGTCCTTTGAAAGCTGTCCAACGGCAGTCACAATGATATCCATCATACCGCTCAGTACATGTTCCATTGTTTAAGCATGGATTGCTCTCACATTTACCAACACAGCCAGGGCTGACGCCTTCAATTCAAAACACACATTAATAAACAATACAAAATAGATAGGTAAATACTTAAACATCAATGTATTGGCTATGTAAAGGGTAGAACTCACCATACAATCCAAATTGGGCAACCCTCCTCAAATCCTGGAGTTGACCATTGAGTAACATAGCTCTAATGCAGCCAACAAAACCATCCCGATAATCAACAGATGCTCCAAGAACTAAGGGTGAAGTAAGATGAAGGGCACGCACAGGGCCTGGTGGCTCTCTGACTTCGGCTTTCAGAGCGCCATCAACAACAATGCGAGCCTCCTTCCTGTTAAAGTATTAAAATGAAAAAAATTAAAAATTTACACTTTGAGGAAGCAATATTACAAATTTGGGGATTACAATCCTAGTAATGTAGTAATGTGTCTCAATAGTACTTCAATGATCATGCCCATACCTGTTGCGTTCAACAGAAATTGAGTGCCACCGGTTGTCCACTAATTTGTAGGCTGTTTCAACGCTCACACCTAGGGGACCTCCACCTGCCTGATATTGAAATTGTAATTTGTTTCCACCTGTAGATAAAATAAAATTAATAGATATTCATTCAAAAAGAACTTTTAAGAACATTAAAACCTCTGAAATACTCACCTATTATAGAAATTTTAATGTAGTCTGTGGGACCCTTGCTGTGCAATATCACAGCATTCTCAATAGTAGTCTTGAATTCAAAGTAGATATCACCACTGTGACCAATGTCAAACGTGGGCAAGTCAATTGTAGCATCAACAATTCGGAAAGTAACAACATTGCTGAACAAGTCTAAAATATAGCAAAGGAAAAAATTGTGAAATAGTGTGATAAAAAATGATCTTACTTCAAAACTGACTGCCTTCAACTACTCACCATCTCCTTCACAATACAGGGGACCTAAAGTAAAACGCCCTTCCTTATCATCAACAGGATTGCCAGTATCTCCAATGCGTAACTGCTTTACAGGAAGGTACTCCTTCTGAGTAAGGAATCCTCCATCCTCTGACCAATCTTCATGTTGACCAGCACTGTTAAGTCGAACTAAACAAAAAATATAAATAAATATTTAACTATTTTTATTCTTTTGGCGTTTAATGCCAGTGGCATACTTCAGTTTTTACAAAACGACATTTTGATGGAAAAAAGTACTTACTTCCATCACAGTTACACCACTTTGTAGGATCCCGGCATGTGCCCAAAACTCCACATTCACATTTACGAGAACCAGGCAGAGCACCACCCCAATAATCCATCCTTTGATTTGAGCGGGAAACCCACCAGGAAAATGGTCGGAATGGCATGTTAGGCAGTGCTACAATATGAAGTCAAAGACAGTTACAAACCACAAATGAAATTTTGTCAACAAAAGAGCATGGCATGCTTTTTTAAATAATCAAAAACCAATGGAAACTAAAATTAACTCACAAGGAGAATTCAAAAGCTTAGAATTTTTGCAGGCGTAGTGTAATCTTTGCCGACAAGTGCTGGATCTATTAATGAGTGCTTCAATTTGAGTCATTTCTGCATCATAGATTACATTGTGGACATAACTGCCAGGTTCTTGAAAGCCATCAACTGAAGTAGGATTTTCATTGTTGTGCTTGACAACAGTCAATATTCGTCCATCAGCTAAAATAGAAATACAAATTAATTAATTTACAAAGAAACGGAAATTGCAAAGAAGAAAAAAAGAATAAAAAGTTTCAGGTTGGGCTACATACCATAAAATTCACATGTGACGGGAAAAGGTGCCAAAGGACCACTTCCATCTACATCAATATTTATGTCTGCTGTTTGGCCGACCGGGTTAGTGTTCTTATATGCCACACACGACAGTGGATTTAAAGCTATGCAAAGATACACCCAATACGGAATTAGATTAGATTAGAAAGCTAAGCAAAATAAAAATTATTCTTGAAAGGAAACACTTACAGGTGTGACAAACAGCACCGGTGTACCCAGTACCAGCACATTCACAGAAAAATTCATGAGAATCTTGCCGGCAAAATCCATTATGTTTACATGGATTAGGATTGCAACGATCTATCATCTGACAAGCATCAAACACCACTTCATTCTTGCAACAGTACTCCTACAAAGTAAAAGAAGATAATAAAAAATAATTTAACAACAGGGAGAGGGAAGCTTTCAGCAACAGAGTTTTGACTTGAAAAACTTAATTCATTTACCTCTTCTTTCCAATCAGTTGGAAGCTTATAATTTCCATCTATGCTTATTTTGCGCATGCATCCAACAAAACCTGGAGTTCCATATACACCCCCACCAATAAAATAGTGAAGACCAGTAGCCATTCTTAAGAGCCTAGACGTTCGCATTGGCTGATTGTCAATGCTAAGGATTAATAGATCTCTCAAGACTGTTAAGACAACATCATGCCAACGTCCATCGTTAAATTGAACATCATAGTTATCAAGAGTAGCCCGTGGGTTACCATTAGTTTCAATTTGTACTTTAACTTTTCCATATTCGAGGAATAACTAGAACAATAGAAAAAGCAGTTAAACTGAGTAATTTGAGAATATACCATGGTTAGAGGTCGGGTTGACACAGGTAGACACATACCTTTACAAATCCTCCAGCCGTGAAGGCATGGTATAGTAAAAGACCATCAGGCTCATACGTCCTAAAGGAAAAGGTTGCATTCAATGACTGAACACCCTCATACCCAGTGAGCTTTGCATAAGATGTAGTAGTCAGAAAAGTAACTGGTACTATGGGTCTTTCCTAAAGAAAAACAGGAAAAAAAATAAATGTAATTTAGTACTTCCAGCTCTTCACACATCAAATCACAGATGGGTACTCTTTTGGGTACTATTATGACATGTGGCATGATTTCAAAAAATCAATCATGTATGAAAGAAAGGACAGTCTTGCATAGGTATCACTTACAATGCAACTAAATAATACATGCTGAGAATAGTAGCGAGGTGCAGAGTAGCTGTAACTATATTCCCTTTCAACTTTCATTTCATGTCCAAGGTTTGTTGAGTTCATATATAAGTTTTCAATACAACCCGTAAAGTTTTGGTTAACCATAAGTCCTTCTTGCTTGTTGGGTATACCGCCAATATAGAAAACTTGGTTTAAATCAAGACGCAGAAACTCTCCTTTAACTTTGCTTCTGATAGCAACTCGGTCAACAGAAAAAACAATATCTCTTTTGTACCGAGAGTAAACAACATCATGCCAGATATTGTCATCAAGAAGGGAGCCAACAGATAAGCTAGTCATTAATCCAGAACCTGTACAAATTTTTAAAAATTATTTGATGAAATATTCAACTAAAGTATCTATTGTTTTACTTGAACAAGTACACATACCGAGGTTAATATTGAGCAGCATACGGTTCTCCCTCATCTGCATTGCAAAATAATCATTTTGAGTGCCACGGCTGTACATCACAACTCCATTAGCTTGATTGGTTTTAAAGCGGAACCGAATTGATTCTTTAATAGCTGACAATGGGTCCCGCTGCAAGTCCCATGTGACAAGTGAAGTACCATTAAAAGATAAAACATCTGACTCTGTAACATGAAATAGATGATAAAAATTTGTTACTCTATAAGTTACTCTGAAATTTTTTTGTTTAAGTGATATTTAAAATGAATAATCTTACCATATTCACATCCATACAGTTCAACCCTCATTGAAATGCGGTTGTTCCATCTTGTTGGATTGATTCTGATCCATTGGGCAATTATGGGAATGTCAAATGAATTACGTCTAATGGTATCTGTATCCCGATTGCCTTTGAACATCTAGAGAAAATTCATTTAATTTAAAAATAAAAAATAGTGACATAACAAGAATTTTAAATGACAACACAATTACACTGTATTAAAATAAAAGTATAAAAAACCAAGCGCTGATAGCATAGCATGCAGACTACCTAGGGAGTTAAGAAATAAATGAGCATGCAAATGAAAACTGTAGTAGTCTCCACAATGTGTCCATTTTGTTGAAATAATTACAGCTACAACCCAAAACAAAGATGAGATCAACAAACATCAGATTTCCTAAGCATGCAACTCAGACTGAATCAGTGTACAACCCTACTCATCCCTTACAGACATGCACTTAAAAAAGTAAAGTAACATAAAAAGTTAGCAATACATAACAGGAAAAAAATGAAAAAATGAGCCAAACACAGAAAAATAATTAGTGGTGACAAATGTAAATAGATCAAAGGAAATAGCAATTTTTAGTACAATTTACGAGTGGAAGTACACACAATAATAGCTCATAATGCAATCTTGGACTTAAAGCTAGAGCACAACTCTAACCAACCAAGCATGAACTTCAAGAATACACAAAACAAAATATACAAAAGGCACAATTCAATTGCAATAATTCCCACAAAATAACAGAAAAAAAGAGGAAGACAAACACAAAAGAAATACCTCTGTCTCTCCAACAGAGCTAATGATATTCCGCCAGGCTTGGTTGTCATCACTGTATTGGAGACTGTACTCCGTGACAAAATTTTCTGTTGCATGTTGTCCTTTAGTTCCAATGGCGTGGACTTCCATTCGGTCTGAGAACTCGAATGTCAGATAATGGTAGTAGGTGTCATCCTCAGGAACCCATGCGTGCTCGCCTGTGAAATATCAAGCAGCCAAGAACCATCACCACCTCTGTTTTAGAAACCACATCTCACTTCAGCGTCAACCCAAACCCTTAAGTATTGTTAGTGGAACATGCAAACATACAGGCCAGTTATACCATACTTGAAGCCCTCCTTGTTACTAATAGTTTTAGCAAATGGAAGATGTGATTTTCCTTGGTTCTCTTTGTAAATGAAATTGTTTTGGTTAATGGGGAAGGGCTTGTCACAGGGCGTGCATGAGAAAGCAAAAATAGTGAGAGTGCTATCACCCAAGAGCTCTTTCAACACCAAAAAAGTAATTGGTGCTCTGGCCACTTGTACCTTTGTGTTGCCGTCATCTTCTTTAAAGTCAGCATAATCCAGACCATTAGTGCCATAACTAATGGAATACTCCATGACATACTCAGTAGAATGCAGACGACCCTGAGTTTCAATTCGAGTCACATTCATGACAGATCCCAGGTCTACAATGATGTACTGGATGAAATCTGTGCTTTCTGCTGACCATGATGTATCACCTGATAATGGATTCAAACCAAGCATTTAACTACAAATTGCATGCAAAACACCCGCAGCATAAAAAAATGAAACAACTCAAACAAATAAAAGGTGACTGAATACAATAAAGCATCTAAGCATACTGGGTCATTTATTTCAACCACTTTGAGTCATGAGGGGGTTTATGTCTCCTCCCCCTCAGCGCCGCGCCGGCGTGTGGAGCAATGAACCGAGATATTGCCGCATAGCACGCGTGCGAGGGAAAGGGGGGAGGGGACCAGGAACAGGGGTTGCGCGCCCCACTCGAGCGCGCCCCGCCCCCTCCCGCTCACCCTTGCGCGGCGGAGCCGAGACAGGATCCACCTGGCTCCAACACATCACTTAGGCTGCTGACACGGAGAGGGAGCGGGATGGGGAGGGGGAGGGGGTCGTCAACGTTTGGGGACATCCGAGACAGTAATCAATAGCTATGGTGAAAGGCACAGGCTGGTATAGGGGACAGTAAAAAAAAGGGGGGGGGGGCAGGGGACACCTTCTGAATGTTTATTACTACTACAACATTAAGGGATGGATGCAATCTCTTACTTGTGCTTCTTGTGCTAATTGAGAGGTCTGATCCACAGATTGGGAAAATATAAATTAAATTGACTACAGAATGTTAGTAGATAAAAATTTGCCATACACAAATACATAATAATGTAACAAAATAAAAAAAAATAATCGGGAAGGGGCTAAGGAACTGAACTCAAGTTAAAATGTTCCTGAAGAAATTCAAACTACTCTTACAATAATAATTTGCGCTGTACATAAAACATCATGCTCACTCACACTACAATGAAGCAAAATTTTATAACCAATTGTGTATAGCAAAAAATCTAGCAAAGAGCATCAAACTACGTTTTTTAAAACCAACCAATGGCACAAAATTATCAAAACACAATCAGATATTTTAAAAATAAAATAACTACTACAACGCAGTGCAATGAGGCAAACTGACAAAGACTTGGGAGCCCTTTGGTTTTAAAAATGTTCTTTGATGTTAAATATTTTTCATTAAAATTGAAGAAACTTAGATGATGGGGCATAGTATGAGTATCCACAGATACAGAGTCAACTCGAACTGATCACACTTTATAAATGTATACCTCAGTCCACTTTTTTCAGTCTTCAAAAACACTTATGCTAAAAGTAAGAGTGCAGTACTCACTGTTCAGCTTGGCTTTTTCAGGCCCTCTTTCCCGCATCGAAGAAGTTGCTGTGAGCTTTGCTCTAGATAGTAGAGGTTGGTTGCATTCATAGTAGGTATAATCTAAGTGTCAAAACAGATAAGATATGTTAGAATGTACAAAATACCAAAGAACAACATTGAAATTAGTTGAAACACAGAGGTGTGCTTTCAACAGCAAGACAGATTAGCTATACATTTAGCAGTAAACACCTACGACCGGATTAGGAAACATGTACGGTTGTAAACGATTGAATAGTATGTTGCTTAAGTCAGACACAGATTTCTAAACTTCGTAGGAAAATATGTGAAGGTTATAAAATCACAGATGGGGTGCTAAGGACGCCACAGAAGTGGGCTGGGCCCTGTGATTCATGGGCACTAACTAACCTCTCTACCAAATAGTTTTCCTTTCAAACAATGCACAAACCATATTGCTTACCTGCCAAGACAGAATTTAACAAAAAGAAGCCGCAGAGAAGAAAACTAAATATGGGGGCGCTTAAAATCATCTTTGCATGATTAACCGACACGGCCCGCCCAGACTCCCACCACTTCAAACTCTGTTGGGTGTTGGTTGGTGTTGGGTTTGGGTTGGTGAGTAACGTTTACGTTTCTTACTTGCCGGTTCGCACACCAGGCAGCAGCACTGATCGGCGATGTCGTTTCGCATAGCATCGACAGATAGCGCCAGCGCTGCTTTCGCTCTTAGTGAGAGGTACCAACATCAGCAGTCCTGAAGTTTGCTTATTATATCCAAAAAAGAACAGAAATTGCAAATGAATTGTGATCTATTGACATTTATGTAGTAGGTATGGACTATCGTTACAAAATTTTAAAGTTTGACGATCCCTTTGAGTCCCTTAAGTCTTCTGGAAAGTTAGATCGTGTTCACATTCCTTTTTTCCGCGAAATTGGAATCTAATCGCTGTAATAATGCTAAATGCCTTGAGAATGTGAGAGCACGAATGCGCTGTGAGTGAAGTGAAGGCACATGGAAGTTTGGGGTTGGCTACAATCAAAAACCTACACAAATTTTTAAAAACATATATACTTCACATGATTGGAATGACATAAAATTTGTACTCAATATCAATTGCAACATTCTTACAAATCACCGTACCATTAAAATACAAGTTCATTATTACTGAACAATTATGATTTGTTAATAACCTTTTCAACAGAATTTCTGAGTGTCTTGATGACTTGACTTGGATCTGTGGCTCCCGTCACTGCAGTTCCTGACACAATCATATTGGCACCAGCCTAAATATGGAAATAGGATATAATTATTAGCTATAGTAGCAATCTAGTAGGTAAAGTCCTTGGACTAGGAATTTAAGTACCTGAGCACATGCATCAATGGTTGATGGACCTACACCACCATCAACTTCAATATCAAGGGAGGGATAATTCTCCCGTAACCATCTCACTTTGTCCATCATATTGGTCATAAATTTCTGGCCACCAAATCCTGGTTCGACAGTCATTATCAATACCATGTCTGCCATGTCAATATATTTTGCGACAACTTCAACACCAGTGCCTGGTTTCAAGGCAAGTCCAACCTGCAATTATTATTAAGTGTTCAAAATAAATGTATGGCACAACAGATAAAACAAAATGAACTAAGATTTAAACATACCTTCATTCCTGCCTCTTTGACTTGGCGACATATGCTAGGAACATCACTGACAGGTTCAATGTGGAATGTGTATTGATCTACTTTGGCGTCCGCCATGGGTTCAATCCACTGAAAAATGTAGAGAGCAAAATACAACCATGGACCAGAACAATTAAGAATATGGCGCATACTAATATAGTTTGGGTTGCATACCTGCTCTGGTTTCGACACCATCATGTGTGTCTCAAAGAATGCTTTGGGAATCTTGTTTCTTAAACATTTGACAACTGGATGACCAAACGTTAGGTTCGGAACAAAATGACCATCCATGACATCTAAATGCAAATAATCGGCTCCACTATCCAACAGCTTCGTAGATGCCTCAGACAAATCCGAAAGATCAGCATTGAGAACCGATGGACCAATTTTGCATTTCACGGACATGGTTAATTAAACTATTTGTCCTCCTTCGTCAATGTCACGAACGATTAGCCGATCCGGAATTCACGTCAACCTGGAATGAACGGAATATCACGCTGCTCACTGATTCACACGTCCTGCAAATGACCCTTGTACGACTTGCAAGCAAACTCACATTTCGTCTGCTTTTATATGTGTTCTCTTTTGCCGGCAGACACACATTGATTTTCGGCCAACCACGTGGCATCTCGTATTGAGGCTTTTTGTCATGTTATGTATGAGAATATACGGGTAGGAAAGAAAAGCTTTTAAACTTTAAATAAATATTAGAAACAGATTGCACTGGTTTACTGGTCGCTACACTGATTAAGTAAGGCCAACGAAATTAAAAAGTTTCCACAGATTGTTTTATTCAGATCAGGAGAAGCGATTTTTATGTGGAGAGAGTTCGCCCCTCCCCCCTTCCCCCCTCCTCCCTCTTTGTCCCCGTTGTCCCTTCCAAGAAGAATCTCTCGAGCAGTGACCGGATCGAACCGGAGCCCAAAGTGAGAAGAGAAAAGTCAAGCTGAAGTTCGCGATCAGTTTTTCGAGTTTGCGTCGTGGTTTCTCGGTTTTCGTCGGTTTTTCGAGTGTTGGAATGTGAGTGTGCCGTGGCACAAATGTTTTTTTTGAAATTTTGTCATTTAGTTTCTTAATGGGCTGTATTTTGATACCCATTTCTCACCGGGATTGACCTGGTTACAGCCTCCTAGGCTGAAGCCTGTTTGGTAAAGATACATATTTTAATTGAGTCTGCAGCTTTGTTTAATCTAGTAAGGAATTTTACTTTTTGATTACAATTGTCAATCATTTCATTTTTGTTGGGTGTGAGTCTATTCCCTTCGGCTTTGAGTTTTATATTTGTACCTGATAGCATCGTACACATAACCCTTATGATGTGTTTGCCTCTTAAATATGTGACGCGTTTTTCTGTCGATCTAGAGATATGTTGTAATTACTAATTCAACTGTGCAAATTCGTTCCTCGAACTATTTCTTTTCACAATATTTAGTATTGTTTGTTTTCTGAACTTTGCTCTCTCAATGTTTCTTGTTAAACCACTCCCCAAAATGTACATCCCTTGTGTCACAATGCTATCTAAAGGCCTTATTGTGTATAGAGGTAGTTTATTCTCTGTTATTAACATTTTTGATGAAGAATCTAGTAGCATTATGTTTGAAAATCATGAGTTATATCATTTATGCAAGCCAGGGTGAAAAGTTGTTTGCTTGTAATTTTTGGATGAAAAGTGTGGACATTGAATGTATTATGATCTGGATACTCGTCGCTGTGTTGAGATCATCTAGAAGAAATGTAAGTTAATGTTCTACTTGAATTAAAAAATTGATGTCACTTTCTTTTGCAACTACATTTAATAAACATACTGTTGTCTCTCTTTCAGGAATGAAATGAAGACATCCTACTCACTCTTCATTGTAGGAAAATCTATTTTCAAACCAGGCAGGTCTTCATGGGCAAGATCAGAAGATTGTGATAGAGGTCATCTTATGTTGCCGCTAGTTTTTTAAGTGCTGTGAAATGAAATAGTGGTCATCTGTGTCCTACAACTTGAAGATCAGTGCAACTTACCATCCCAGGCTGTCTTGTCATCTTTGCTGAACTTTCAATCATCACCACTACGCATTCCGTCTTCCTGGCTGTACATGCCAAATCGAGTTTTCGTTATGTGTATAGCTGACCTTACGGAAAGACTGTCGTGCACCAAGGTCAGCTGCGTCGTTTGTACCGCTTGAAAGCCAGCCGTTCGCGTTCTGCTAGGCTTTCAAATGTGATTTGCCGTGGGGCCCTCTCCACTCCGTTGTTGACCATCCGGTTATATTGAGGGTACCGTATGGCTTATTCCGACCGCCGCCGAGCCAATTCGTTATACCCCTCGATTAATGGTCAGAGCCGGAAAGTCTTGTCGCCTCTCGTTCTTATTTGTACGGTACTTCTCGGGACGTGATCGTATCGGTAACCTACTTTCCGCTCGCTAAGTGGGTGTCGCATTTGTATATGCCTACCGCTGGCATCGGTTCCATTTTAGTCAAGTGATGGTGCCGAGGTATGGATGTCTTATTATTTGTCCCTAATACCTTTCACTTTGTGCAAATATCTATTCCCCTAAGTTCAAAATGCCCTTTCTTTCATGTCAAAATTAGATCTTTAAAAAAATTAGGCAAATTAGAGTAAACTCTCCCCTTTCTCTAGTAAAGTAATTTCCCATTCTCTAGAAGTTTTAAAAGTAAGACCATTTTGTTCAAGTAATATTTAGATAGCCTGGGGCGCAATTAGCAAGCTATAATTCAGGGTGCTAGGTGTTCAAGACAAATAATTATATCAAATTATTTTTGGTATTTTCTGTGAATCATTGCGGGGTTATTACAGATTGGTCCATCTATAACTTTTATTTACTATGGTTTTTAAAAATTGAGTTACGTGACCCATATTTAACTGACACTTGTATTTATATTTGTTGCACACTATCCCCACAATCCTTGGGAATTATTGTTGTCTGTCAAAGCTTTTTTTTCTTCTTTTTTTTTTTTCATTTTACTTTATTTGGACTGCATTGTGAATTTGTAAAGACTCATTGTTTTCAGGGGTCAAATCACTTGTGTTTGGAATTGTATTGTTGTTATGCTCAAAATATATTTTCTGTTTGTAATTTGTTTGATTTTGCCTATTTTGCAGCACTATTTCAATGGAAATGATGAAGTAGAGATGTCAAGGTACGATCGGTCGCCACGCTCGCGGTCAAATCAGTCCACCCGTTTGCGGATGGACTCCTACTCTGGTGGAAGCAATGGACGATCTGCCCCGCGGGGCAAATGTAAGTGTGTTTAACGCCTAACCCCAAACCGACTAGCATTTTATAATCAGGATCGCTCACTACGTCCTTTGCTTCCACAGCTCCCAAAAGAAATGAACTCAACAACGTTATGAGGAAGGCACGTCAAGACAACTCTAAACCCAGCATTTATTGGAACAAGAAGCTGTTAGAGGCTGAGGAAAAAGATCCCAACAGGTAAGTGATGGTGTTGATATTCACGACTGCATTCAGATGAGTCCACCCGCAAGAGTCCACAGACCAGGCCGCCCCGGGGTTGTTATTCATTTGGTCAATTCTGATGATTCTGACATTGTTCCAGATGGCGCCACAGCGGCTACAAGGAGCTGTACGCCGACGGCTCGCCCAACAACCCTCGGCGGAGTCGGTCGCGGTCCCGCTCGCGCTCGCACGTGCGGCCCAACGCCAGGTCCAAGTCGCGGTCGCGGTCCATCCGATCGAACAAGTCGCGCTCCCTCAGCCCTCGCGGAGGCGGGCTGCGCAGGGGGCTGGCGGGCCGCGACCGCATCAGGTCGCCGCCGTTGCCCGCGCGGCCTTCCCCACCCCCGCGACAGCGCTCCAGGGACCGGGAGCGTGAGCGTGAGCGCGAGAGGGAGCGCGAGCGGGACAGGGACAGGGAGCGCGAGCGGCTTCGGGAGCGCGAACGAGAGCGCGACCGTGCCCGCGAGCCGCCGCGCAAGGAGCAGGGGCTGCGCTCGCGCCCCAGGAGGCCCCAGACACCGGAGCCACCCCCGCCCAAGGTGAGCACACATCTCCTCCCCGAGGAGCCCTGTCTACCTGCTCGTTGTGCGCGTGTGTTGACTAATGATGACCTCTCACTCTGTGCAGCCCTCGGCCTCCGCCCGCCGCCCGGAGCACATGGACATCCGCAGGAAGGGCCCCGGCCGCTCTCCAGTGCGCGCGCCCTCCGCCTCCGGCAGCTCTCGCTCTGTGAGCAGCTGCTCCGACTCGGTGTGCTCCGTGTGCTTGCCCAAGAGTAAGGGCACCAAGAAGGCCACCACCCCGCCCCCTCAGGGGTGAGTACCGAGCGCGCGCGCCTCTGCTTGTGCCCAGGCTGTGCCTGCGACCGCTTTCTGACTTGACGTGATCTGTGTTCCGCAGGAGGAGACACACCCCGCCGACCAGGCGCACGCCGCCCCCGCGCAGGATCGCGTCCAGCCCCACCACCATCCCCCGCCGGCCCGTGGTCAGCCCGCCTCCGAGCGACCCCCGCGGGCCGCCGCCCTCGCCCCCGCCCGCGGCGCGCCGCGCAGCCAAGGCGAAGCGGAGGGCCGAGCGGGAGAAGGCCAAGCTCAAGGGGATGAGCAAGCGGCGCCGCGCCGCGGCCGGCCTGGCCATGGTGAAGCTGGAGGGCGTGCCGCGCCACCACTCGCCGCCGCTGCACGACTCGGCCTCCGACTCGTGCTCCACCTCGTCGCGGTCCTCGATGGGGGCGCCGCGGCTCACGCTGTCCGAGCGCTTCGGCAAGATGGCGCAGTGGAGCGAGAACAGGCGCGACCTGGACGGGGTCCGGAACATGCGCATCACCAAGGATTCGGACGGCACCGACTTCAAGGTGCGTTTTTGAGGGTTGGTTCCGTCGCAGGTTCGTAGACGAGTTGCCTCTTCTAACACATTTTCTTTGGCCCCGAAGGTGGTGATTGACGAGGACGAGGAGATCGCCCCGTACCGGCCGCTGAGCCCCGTGCCCATGCCCGTGTCTGACCGGCGCGTCGGGCTCGGGTACTTCCCCGAGGCCCTGCACTCTGCCCCGGTGGGGCTGGAGGCTTGGGACGACGTGCGGGTGCGGTACCAGTACTACAAGGACCGCGGCTACTTGCGGGACCTGTCGCTGGACGACTACATGAAGTGGGAGGAGTGGTGGTACAAGTACCAGGAGTGGCTCGAGGCTGAGCGCTACTACGAGCAGTGGCACGCCATGCGCGGCCACCTCGGCCGCAGTGGTCGGCGCGGCAAGAGAAACCGGATATAGGGGCACGCCGCTTCCCGCCACAGTAAGTCCAGCAAGTCGGCTTCGGCGTCCGCCTCGGCGTCGACCGACTTGGCCCCGGAGGCCGTCGTCGTGAAGGATGCGGCGGCCCCCGAGGCCACCACCCTCTAAATCTTGGAGGAGTGGCGCTGGCAGGGCGGGGAGCAGGGCGACGTGCGGTCCCGAGTAGCGGGGGCGAGTGTGCGTGAGTGAGAGTGCGTCAAGCCATCATCCATTCAAGGACTCAGCACCACCACCACCGAGCCACACACAGCTTCCTTGAGGTCAGCTACTTCAATGTGACACCGTCGTCCTTTCCGTTGTCTTGTTATGTACCTCAATATTTTTTTTCTTTTCATTGTTCATTAATGTGTGGATTATATCCCATGACCAGGCTAAGTACATTAATGAGGGTTTAGCAAGGATCTTCCCACTGTCATGCTTGCTTAATTGTAAGAAACTAGGTTTCATGGTGGTACGTACTGACGTATTTTTAGGGATCGTACTCTTAGTTGAGAGGAAGTTCATCCCTATGAAAGATGCGGTTAAGTCACTTATCAGTCAATAGTTTGAGGATGCATGATTATTATAATAAAATAATTGATGGAGAGTAAGAATGCTATTTTTTCAACTTGAGAATCTGTTTTTAAGCTGTTGGTGCAATTTTTATTTTGTTTTTGTTTCCATTGTATTATGGAATCAGATTTCTTTGTAAGCAATTTTTTTTCCATCTAAAAGCCCTCTAAAACCTGTTAAGACTTGGAAGTAAGAAAATATGTATATTTGACTTTTATTGTGACCTAGAACAACAGTTGTTGTTTCTTGAATTTGTTTTAATTCTATTGTCTTAGGATGAATAACATCAGTTGAATGCAGTATTTTTGTTTACTTGACTTGGTTTATCAGATACCACACTTGTATGGTCAGACTGTTTGTCATCCTTTTGTATGAAATACTGTTGAGGTTTATATGGACTTAGATTCTCATGTTAGAATTTATCACTCGAAATATGTAATTGTTGTATGTCTCTCAGCATGTGTCACATGTCATGGGGTCAGACTTGTTGCTGTTGTGTAATGTGTAATGGGAGTTTGTAATTAGTAGTGTCTGTAATTTTCTCACTACCTACCTCAACACCTAATCCTCTAAGCCCATCTACTAAAATACTTTCTAATATTTGTGTGCTTGGCCTTTTTCTTTCTTTTTTTTTGTTCTATTTATCTTCCCTCTTCCTCCCTTAATCAGGGAATGTGAATTTAAGAGT